CCCACCCAGCTTCCTTGTAGCCCCCCCAGGCACTGGAAGGCTGCAATAAGGTCTCCCCGGAGCCTTCTCTTCTCCAGGCCATGCGAAACCATCTCTCCCAGCCTGTCCCAATGGCAGAGGGGCTCCAGCCCTTTTTGCTTTTCTTTAAAAGAATTCTAAAAATATTAATTTAAAACTGAAACCATTAACACCTCATTTTCATTCAAACATTGTTTGTAATGAACAGACAAAATATTTTACTTGAAATAGACTCAATAAGAGTTTTCTACTTTTTGTTTTTCATCCAGCTGGACCAAATCTCTGAAATTTTAGTCATTCCATAGCTGTATATATATATTAGCATGAATCAGTTAAAAATTTATTTGCCCAGCTTGATTTCTGAATTTTTCTGGGTCAATTAAGAAGAAGCACAAAGCAATTTTACACATTTCGGTCAACTGGCCATGCTCGCTGGCATGATCTGCCAGAACGTGCTAATAGACAAGATCTTGCTCGTCTGTCACAGCCCCCGTGCAGCGACGGTGAAAAGGCTCATTGTTCCTAGGAGGGTGTCTCATTCCTCACTCTTTTGGTACTGTGAAGTGCTATCGTATAATCAGTGAGTAATTTGTATTTTGGCATCCCCCACAACTGCCTCCACATAACTCTTAATGAAATTCAATCAGAGAAATGCCCTGAAATGTCCCACTTACACTGGGAAAGACAGGCAATGACATGTTTAAGGACTTAAAGACTGAATTTTCGGATTGCTTTTGCTATTACAGATATCACAGTCTAACCTTTTTTTATACATATATCTGAAAAAAAAAAAACCAACCCTGCTGGAGTATTCACAGAACCTTGTGGGTTTTATTTTCACAGACTGACGCTGTCTGCTAAGTGTTTTATTTTAGATCAAGGAAGACAGGAGGGGTGGGAAAGAAAAAAGGGATTGCAAGGAGGATGTGGCAGGCTATACACCAAAACCAGAATCAGACTCGCTTCCCTCGCTGCATGTTTTACAACCAAGTGCCATGTCTGAGGAGAGCACAAGGGAGTGAGACATCCCAAAATCACCCCCCGGGCATTGCCTATAACCCAGCTGGCATCCAGAGCAGCCATGCAGATGCCCAAAGGAGAAGCAGCACTGAAAGATGTGTAAACAGCTCCTGAAATCCTCCATGTTACCTTGGAAATCTGTAAAGCTGAGTAACACTGGAACCTTCCTCCTCTCTCCGACCAGGGAACACCCCTGAGCCTCAGTTGTCCGCACTCACCCGTGTGAAGCTGAGCCCCAGTTTGCAATGTTTGGATGTGGATTTCAAGGTAAGCAATGGTAAGATTTGGGGCAAACTCTTGAGTTTATGTTTTCACCTTGTCGTGGTTTAACC